TACTACCCAATCACCCCACAATAAATGTAAATGAATATAGAAGTAAGGATTTTCGTTGTCCGTTTTCAAGTTAGCACGAATTAGGAATTTCTCGTTTTTCGTAGTGCGACTATCTGGTACGAAAAGTGGATCAAATTTGGTGACAAAAGTGAGTTTTAGATGATATTAAGTGTGGGATTAGAGGTGCTAATAATAAGTTAGTGAATTATAAGTTAAAACTCTAGTACGTGTGAAATAAGGAAAATCGGGTTGAACCGAAGTGTACCGTTAGTTACCGACTGAGTGCACCACTTGACCACCACTTTCTTATCACCACATACCCTTGATATTTTTGCAAAATATCCCCCCTCATCTTCAGCCATGTGACTGAAATTTGTGGCCAAAATACAAGGAAAAGAAAGAGAAACTTGGAAGGCTTTGGTGGTGACAAGTGTCAACCACCTATGGTTCGTTAGCTAAGACAAAGTCTCACCTTCTTATCTTCCATTTGAGTCATTTTTCCCTCATTTCTTTCTATTTTGGCTGAGAGCAAGAAGAAGCAAGAGAGTGAAGAGAGTTCAATCTTCTACCTTTGAATCCAACCATTTGAATGCAACCAAGAAAAACTAAACCGATTAATCACTAGTTAGAAGCTTGGGAAGCTTAAAGAGCCAAGAATTTCAAGGAGATGTGAAGGATCAACCTTGCAAGCTTGTGTCTTGAGGTATAATGGCTGATCAACCATTCTTTCTGTGAGACCCCGGTCAGTTCTTAAGTTTGATATTAGATTATATTCATTATTTGTGCGGTAACATTAGGTTTTGGGACTAATTCAAAACCCTGAGTTGGGGTTAAGATTGAAACCCTAGTTTTTGTATTAATCATAAGTCAAGTGGTGGTTAAAATTAGTTATGCTAGTGTGTGTTTTAGTGTGGGTAAGTATAGGATTTGATCCATTTTATATAGGTTAAATAAGTTTAAGAAGGTTAGAAACTCTAAATGAGTAAAACCTCTAGTGTTATGATTTATTAGAAGTTTTAAGTTGGGTTTAAACCTAATTTTGCCCTTGATAAAAAGGTTATTGTTTTAATTGCTTTTATGTGGGATAAAGTATGTTTAAGTATAGGTGATTAATGTAGGAGAGTGATTAGTGAAGCAATTAAGTGTGGTCAAGTGTTTTGGATTAGATTAAGTTAGTAACCTATGGAGTTAATTGAAAGATTATAAATGTTTGAGAGGAAAAGGAGTAAGAAAGAGAAAATAAATGTTTAAGGGCTAGAGTTGATTTAATGTAAAGTTGGAGTGCAAGGGGCTAAAAGGCCAATTGAGGAACTTTTATGTGATTGGTTAGGATGGAAAATATCCTCCATGGCTTTGACTTATATGTATCATCTTCTTATGCAAGATAATCATAAGAAACAAAACAAAATAAGCTAAAGAGAAAGAGAGAGAGAGCAAGAGGGGGAGAGAGTTCCTTCAAAATTCTTCAACTTCTAGCTCCATCTTGCATTTGGAGCTTAAGGGATCAGCTTGGGGTATTTGATTGTTGAAGTTTGATCAACTACAAAACTTATTTGAAAGGTATTTCATCTCTCTTGAAGGTTTAAGTTGGGTGATTAATTTGGAAACCATGAAAGTGATGCTTTTGTTGTGATTATGCATTTTTATGGGTTGTATGATGATTATGGAATAGTTTTTATGGTTTATTTGATGGTTATGTTGCTGATTTTGGTAAAGGCTACGAAGAAAATGTAGGGTTTCTTGATTCATGATTCATAGAGTTGGTTTGGTTGGATTTTGGCTTGTTAATGCATCTTTGATGTCTTGATTTCATTTGTATGGTTGGTTAGTAGCAAATTCCAGATTGGTCATGAAACCCTAATTCAAAGGAAAGTTAGTTTGGTTGGGTTAGGGCTTAAGTGATTAGAGTTTGGTTGATTAGGTGGTGAAACTAGTAAAGTTAGTAGGATTAGCACCTAGATTATGGTTAGTATTGGGTAAGTCTTGGGATGAAATTGGAAAAAGGAATTTTGGTTTTCTTGAGAGAGCAAATAGGAGGTGATTTATGTGTGTTTATTTGGTATGAGTTTGCTTGGAAAAACTTGTATAAGAATGTAGCAACAGACCATGCGTTTGTGACGTTCGAAACCGGCAAAACTGGAACAGGGCAATCCACAAATCCGAACTTAAGTTCTGTTTTTCTTTATGCTGCGCCTGATTCAGAAGTTCCTCAAAACATGAAAAGTTGTAGCTTATTAAGTCCTTAAGGTGCCTGAAAAATTTCTGGCCAAATGGATCAGTGTAGCCCGAGTTATAGCCAAAACACTTGCACCTGTTTTAAACACTGGATTGTGTTACGTTTTTGAATTTTGCTTCTGACCATGTTCTGTCCATCTTGATAACGTGAGAATTGGGTGTTTATCCTTCATAATAAATGTAGATCTTGGTCTTAGCTTCGAAACGGTATAAAGTGCATCCAAATCCGAGTCTCGTAGCTCCAGTTATGACCAAAACAAGATCAGTTGTCAGAACTGCCTTCGAATTTGGACAGTTCTGACAGGAACTTTGAACACATTTTTCCCTATGCTCCGTACTGATTCAGTTTTTGGTCAAAATACAAAAGTTATAGCCTTATAAACAAGCTTTCTAACGCCTCTGGAATTTCTTGATTCTGCTTTCTGAGTCGTGAGTTATGGTCTTGAAAACAGGGCCTGTTTGGTAACCCGAAATGAAATGGCTGGAACTGTTTTGCACATTTTTGTCCTAGTTCCATTGAGATCTGGCTTGAGGTGTCTTCATGAAATTTGTAGCCTTTCTTCTTAGATTCACAACGGTACCTCATACACTTCGATCCGATAACCATAGCCTGAAATTTGATCAAAACGGTTCTAGGTGCCAAATCTGTCGTTTCCATTGCAGGCCATTTACGTTTTCGTTTGCCGTTTCTGCACTTGCATGTGCCAATTTTGTCGTTTTGTTTGTTTTAGGCATATTAGTAGCTGTTTGTGATATAATGTGATGCAATCTTCTATTTCAGATAGGGGTGAGCTAGATGGAGTCGGTGTGGCCTACTAGCTATCCTTCGCGACGCAATTTTCGTACTTTTGCTATTTTGGTTCTTTGGGTAAGTATTCGGCCCGTTTTGTATATAACTTGCTTATGTCTTTAAGGTGAATGGAAGGGTACCTAGGCAAGGGTGTACTTCATCGCACTCGACCTAAACCCTAATTTACATGCATATTTATACATGACATGTCTAAATGAATTATTTTGGGTTTGAACCCCTTGAGCTTGTAGCTCGGGGTGATGTTTGTGAGTTGGGATCGATCTTCTGACCTAGATGGACTATTCGAGACAGCCGGGGCTTGGTCGAAACCAGTCCAACCTAGTCTGAGGTCACTAAGTTTGTGAATCCGGTTCACCGAGAATGTGAACCAAGTTTGTAGGTTCAAGTTGTGAACCAAGTTTGTAGGTTTAAGATGTGAACCAAGTTTGTGAACCGAGCTTGTGAACCAAGCTCAATTTTGTTCGCTTGAGCAAGTTTGTGAGGTGACTGGCCAGTGAGGGTGATAAGGTGTTAGGTGGGTGTACAAGTGGAGTTCTACGGACCTTATTTGTGGTCGACGGAGTGTCAGTAGGAGGTCACGCATGGCAAACGACTTGGCTTTGAAGCCAACCTGTATCCTTCCTTTGTATTGTTACTTTTGCACTTGACTTGGCATTTTTGTGAAATAGTTGTTTATTTAAATGTGAAATTTACACTTTTACCCCTTTTACTTACTAAGCATATAGCTTACCCCGTTTCCTTTGTTTTCCTTAGCAGGGGACGACGCGGGGAACTCCTTGGCACATTCACTAGTATAGCTAGGTTTGCTTGTAATAGTTGGACAATTAAGATGGTTGTTTTTTTGTTTTGGTGGTTTGTGTAAGGACCCTCCTTAGGGTCTACTTTCTGCTGGTTGTTATCATAATGTAATATAGTGGTTTGACTAGCTTCTTTTGAAGATATAATTAGAACTCTTTTGGGATTATACATACTGTATATAGTACTCTTTTGGTTTATCTAGCTTTTATTGCTTTAAGTTTTTGAGTCCTGGCGCGAGCTAGGCAGGCGACCCGCCGATACCCTTGGGTTCGCCCTTGAGAGAAGTGCGGTCGTCACAGGTGGTATCAGAGCGCCTAGGTTAGAGGACTTGGGCAATTGGGACATACACGATAGGCACTAGGCATATTTGATTCTTTTAAGATGAATGGTATATTTTAAGCTAAAATGCCAGTGAACTGATGACTTAATGTTTTATAGGTATGGATCCGGGCAGTCCTAGTGGTGCGGGACCTAGCGGCGTAGGATCTGGACCGGGACTGAGACCTCCGAGGGCGGGAGACCCGACGGACTGTGTGATGCGTAGGCGGGTGATCCGATATCAGGAGAGGCCTGGGGAGCCCTACACCCACTACAAGAAAATTGCGTTTCTGTGACAGGCGAAAGTCGTCACTAAAAATTCAGAAGTCGTCACAAAAAAAATCAGTGACGACTTTTACTGCTGTCACAGAGCTGTCACTAGTTCTATGTCACAAAAGGGGGTCCATGTGACGACTGTTGAAAGTCGTCACAAACGATTTCGCTTTTGTGATGACTCTTGTCGTCACTCATTGTTGTACATTATGTGATGACTTTTATTGTCACTAAGCTGGCTAAATTCTTGTCATAATCAACCCTTGGAGTTGTCACATTATGCTTCCGTTCAGTGACGACTTTTGTTGTCATTGTTTTCCATCCATAAAAAGTGACCACTTTCTGGTGTCACTAGTGAAATTGTTGGCAGTGACAACTTTTTTATTGTCATTTATTTTTTTTGTAAAAAGCAATAATCTAATGTTAATTACGCAACATAGCTGCCAACAATCACAAAACGTTCATTGAGTAGCAATGAGAAAAAAAAAGCCAACATACGAAAAGAAAGCCAACATTCATTTCCAATAGAAGATCAACCCAAATACATATATATATATATATATAATGTTGCCTCAAATGAGTCATAAAGCATGCACCATCCAAAATAAGCCATTCAGTTACAATACTAGTGATTTCCCATCCACAATAGAGAGTAGTAAAGTTCTATACAAAAATATGAGCACGATTCCCATCTAGAACAAAACATGAGCACGATAGGCCTTGTAGTCTTCAAATCAAAAACCATCTTCACAGCAATGACTGGCTTCTTCTTCTTGGGAATCGTGTTAGAACCTACACGTTACCAAAATTGAAGCAATGAGCACTGGTGTTAAAACTGGAACTACACTTCTAGATAGGCACCATATTATAAAAACTAATGTCACTCTAATTTGAAATTATAGCAATCTAAGTAAATTGCTTAACACAAAAATAAAGTGAAATTATAGCAAATAAGACAATGAATGTATATTCTGTGAAATATAGAATAACAATACAAACACAATAAATATCTGCATGTTCACAAATATATATGCAATAACAATAACAATAACAACAATAAAATCCTAAAATCATTGAGAGCCTAGATGATCGTGAACCACACAGTATATCAAGAAAAAAAAACACACACACACACACAATCACAGGTGCCTCTTTTTCCTTAGCACAAAAAAAAATTCTGATACAGAAAAATTTAGATGAGTTCGACAAAGAAAAAAGTGGAATACATCCCAAAGTGAAAAACCATCTCAAAAGGGGAACTCACGAAACCTAACTGTTGCCTCAATGAGACTTGCCAAATTAATTTAAAAGGAAAAATATTTCAACTAGCCGCAAAGTTATGTTTCAAGAAGCCACAAAGCATACTCCCGCCTGAGAGCCACAAAGTTATGTTTCAAGTAGAAGGCAACTGCTCTTACCTTCAAGACATATTGAAGTGCAGAAAAAGCAAAGTGTACATATGCCACATATAATAACTTTGACTGTCTTTAGCAATTAAGAGATGAAATAGCTATGCTAAAAATATTTGTAGATAAATTACACTTCCACTTGGAGCAGTAGATGCAATATAACGCATTTTGAGAGATGACAGGACAAAGGAACCTAAACCAATCCCATCTATTACATCTCAATGTGCTTTGACTGCCAGTGTCATGATCAGCAGCTCAGGGTAAATTAGTATACAAAAATGTTTCCATGGTAGTAAGGTACAGGAGTAACAGGACAACCTCTGTCCAGGTGCATCCATTAGTTTTGCAGCTGGATAGGCATAATCAATGAGATCAACAGAACACAAAGCTCAGAAGGTGCATTTACAAAGACATGCATGTTATTTCAATCTATTACTGAACTTTGCAACCATATATCCTTTTGATCTGTGTCTAAGGGGCTAAAATTACAAAAAGTAGAGAGATTGAAACGAAGTGAAATTCAAGGCATAGACTAAGAATGAAACATTAATTCCAGAGAACTGGTTTGTCAAGATTGTAAAAATGTTCTTACGGTATAGTCCCTTCAAATATGGATGCTGACCACATTAAGCTCAGTTACCACCTCCAGCTGGGATTGATCTCTTTAAATGCTGGCAAATGAGATTCCATGAAAGCCCTGGTGTGTTACGGACATGGTTAGTCCTTTCATTGCGCTAGAAGACGACAGGAATCTACAACTTTTTATTTCATACTCTCTCCCATTTAGATTAAAGAGAATTGTCCTTCATCATTAAGATTATATTAATGATATTTTTCTTATCAAAATTGCTTTTCTTTTGGTGGAACTGTGCTTGTAAACTAGCAGATAACTAATCTAAAGCAGGGAAAACTCGCTTTTTATATAAGCTAAACAAATTGTATTATAAGACCACATCCTGGACAGTCAAAATGCCATTCAAAAGCAGCAACAATGCCAAGTAGACTATAATTTAACCATTCCTTTAATACATATTTAAAAGATTCGACAGAAATAGTAGCATAGGAACTTGCACTGTCAAGTTGGAATTGGCCCAGATATACAGATTTTTGGAGTATGATTGAATTAGGGCCTGTGTCATATAAAGTGTCCTCTTACATAACAAGAAAAATGAGTGGACACAATTTAACATAGAGTTCCTGATATTGCCACAAGTAGGATTTCTAATGACTACCACATGTATTCAGTATTCAATGTTATCCCTTTTAACTTCTATAGTCCTCACAGTAATGGAAATTCGTAACCTACAAAACATTGTGGTAGCAGTCAATCTACATGCATTTAGATATGTTATCTATCCATTGCTCTGGTGAAAGAAATCCAGTACTATCTATACACTTGAAAATCACTTTGTATAACCAATGACATTGACCATACATATCAAATAAACATTCAACAACAAACGAAATGCAAAAGTAAGAATCTAAAATCACTAAAATTGACTTAAGATAATACATTGAGGAGCTATAATTGGAACATTCTCCTCAGAATAGGCTAATCTAAACTAAAGAGCTATCACACGGTCAAGAAGATAAATTTGTGATGTACAGATTTACCGATTCTCAGGTGATTGCTAGTAACTGGGATTTGAAAAGTATAAAGATCAAATTTTTGTCCTTTTGAGTATATTCTGCTATTTTCCTGTGGTTGAATCAACGACAAAATCATATCGTACATGTAATCAAGTCAAGTCATTAAAGAAATTTGTACAGGCAAAAGTTCTGAATACAAGAGCAAGAAATGCAGAAGCAATTAAGAAAAGCATACCTGAGGCCTCTACTACTTCCACCCCAGTCACAATAGCTCACAATTTGTCCCCCATTGTGCTGTCCCAATGTCGTGCAACATGTCATTTAAATCTTCAGTATCACTATCCTCCTCTCCATCCCCATGTTCAGTACTATCCCCACAATTTTGGTGTCGAAATTGTTCCCCATGGTGTATCCATCTTGTGTAGCTTTTACGAATGCCTTGAGTCAATAAATGATCCTCCACAACTGTTTTAGTTTGGTTACAAAAATTATTGCATTGTGTACATGGGCATGGGATTTTCTGATTTTCAACTTTTTGAGAATATGCAAACTTGAGGAAATTTTTGACTCGAGTTCATAAGCCTTGTCCTTCCTATTGCTAATCTTCATCCAAGTTTTATCCATGTCCTAGATATAGACACATCAGCCTTTAGTACAAAATACTTTTCTAATATCAAACTAAAGAGAATACAAGTTTTTTATGAGACTTTCATGCAAAAGAAATGGAAGAAGATTTCGGCAAACTGAAGGTTTCGACAACACTAGCTGCAATTTTCATTTTCAATTGCGGATTCCTTATCAGATTGAATATCAAACCAGGCAATGAGACAAAACCAAGTAGCAGAAACATCACGAAACTCAGAGGCAGTCCTGATATGCTAATCAGATTTACAAGTTCATCAACCAGACTCAAATGCGTAAACTTGAGACAGGGATAGGGAAAGATAAAATGCAGCAATGAGCATTGAACGAATGCCCTGTTACAGCCTGCTGTTAGACCACTTGGGCATTTCAACAAACAGTAAACGAACATGAAAAATTCCAGCAATTCTTTGCTCAAATGAAGCCACGGTTGGCCCAAAATCATCAGAAGTACAAGGGATTTCAAATTCAATCATGATATAACATGCGCATGCTAAAATTTGAACAATCAACGGGGCAATTGCAATAAACGAAGCCATGGCAGACATGCTTAGAGGACTTGGGAAGGAACTGAAATTCAAAGAAAAAGGGGCGACTTATAGTGCTCTTACTTGAGCGGTGGCGACGGCGATTATGACGAAGCCGAAGACGGTGAGTTGGAATTGGAAGATGACTAGGTCTGACTTCGTCCGAGAGCCTTCATCTAGTGTTACAGAGAACGGCAGCAGCCCAGGAGGTTGTGTGCGGTGTTGGCGATGGCAGACAGCAGCAGAGCGGACGCGGACTGGTGGTGACCTGGTTCTTCCTCCTCTGTCCGTTGCCGCGTCTTTCTCTCCTGATCTTCCCGTCAGCCGCCACTCTTCCTTCACTCTATTTTTTTTCTTTTCACGCTCAAGGCCTCCCTTCCAAGAACCCTAGCCGCTTCTCTGCTCTTCTGTTTCTCTTTTTCTCCTCAAAAACCTAGCCTAAATTTGTCTAAGTGTTGGAAGAGAGAAGCGGCGAGACTTTTGTTTGTGTGTGAACAACCAAAACGACGTCGTTTTGTAGAGATTTTAGCCACCCGCCTCGCGCCTCTCCTCTTTCAGATTTCAGACTGGCGCTCTTTTTTTTTGGCATCTAAGCACGTCTTTGAGATTCCAGGATTCACGTCTTTTGCTTCATACATCTTTTTTCTTTTTTTTTAGCCAATTTTTTTTCAGGTTTCTTTTTTCATACTTAATCTCTTTTTTTTTCCTTAATCTCATCTATAAATATCAAATAAATTATTTGATATTGGTTTCTTTTTTGTGCATGTATATATATGTGTGCTTGTTTGTGTCTATATACCTTACAATAAAACTTACACAATAAAAATGTTTCAAAAATTTAACATGCATAGAATCGCTTATATACAGTATAGCACTTCTTACTCATGCTTATACTACTCTTTGTCTATTACTTAGTTTTTATAATAAATTAAAAGAAACATGTAATCAAATATTCTGTTAATTGTGTGGCAACTCTCAATCTTATTGCACAACAGATATTTTATTGAATAATTTTAATTTCGTATATACCCATTCCATATGAAAATAATTATTACTTATGATGTATTACACGTTATACTAATCTTTCACACACAGTGCTAACATTAGACTACAAATTATATTCAATTACACTTTTTCAAATTATTTCAGTTATTTATGATTGGGGGTTGTTATAAGGAATAATAAATTTTTATGCTCAGACATGTCTATTATGTCAACTTAGCAAAATTACAAATATCTAAAAATAGTTTGTTATTATATCATTTGCATTTTGCTAATACGTAATGAATAGGGCTAAATTATAAAATTAGGGTGTCATATCTTCGGTGCTTTTGCTCATATAAAAGAATTGGGGGATAAATAATAAAATTAGGGTGCCATAGTAGAATTAGTGAAATTTGATGAAAATACTATAGAATTGCTTATATACAGTATAGCACTTCTTACTCATGCGTATCCTACCCTTTGTCTATTACTTAGTTTTTATAATAAATTAAAAGAAACATATAATCAAATATTCTGTTAAATGTGTTACAACTCTCAATCTTATTGCACAACAGATATTTTACTGAATAATTTTAATTTCGTATATACCCATTCCATATGAAAATAATTATTACTTATGATGTATTACACGTTATACTAATATTTCACAGTGCTAACATTAGACTACAAATTATATTCAATTACACTTTTTCAAATTATTTCAGTTATTGATTTTTGGGGGTTGTTATAAGGAATAATAAAAATTTGTGAAAAAATTTTTATGCTCAGACATGTCTATTATGTCAACTTAGCAAAAATTACAAATATCTAAAATAGTTTGTTATTATATCATTTGCATTTTGCTAATACGTAATGAATATGGCTAAATTATAAATTAGGTGTCATATCTTCGGTGCTTTTGCTAATATAAAAGAATTGGAGGCTAAAAAATAAAATTAGGGTGTCATAGTAGAATTAGTGAAAGTTGATGAAAATACTGTAGTATACAGTGATGCAAAAAGTTGTCACAAAATTGGAATCGGGTAGACCTTCAATGACAACAAGTTATGTTGTCACTGTAGAGAGAGCATTTGTGACGACTTTACTTGAGTTGTCATAAAATCATTTCCCGCAGCATCAAATGAGATGCGTGCAACTATTTCGTGACGAGTGAGAATGACAACTTCTAATGTTGTCACTGATATGCTTGTGTTGTACTCATCAGTGATGACACCTAATGTCGTCACTGAATTAGGTTATCTGTGACAAGATTTTTGTTGTCACATAAATTTTTGTCATTGAAAAATATATTTTGTAGTGACCTTATATTCACCTTTGGTCGGATATTGCACCGACCCTGCTAGTGTTACTATACGTATGGTTACCCTGATGGTCGTCCTGGCAGTGGACGACGAGCGACATCGCCTGAGGAAGGCTTGCGATCGCTTGGCTCAACAGTTAGAGGAGGCTAGAGAGTTTGACCACAAGCAGGTTAGGCGCATTAGGGATTTGGAGTAGGGCTCCGAGTTGAGGAGGAGAGGACATGTACTCTTCGTCGTCAGCTCCATGACACGCACCAGCACCTCTTCGCCTTGAAGGGGCAGCTGAGGGAGAGGGCTTGGAGTATTATGGTGGACTGTGAGGTCCTATTAGATGTGGCCGCGGAGGCACCACCACGAGCTACCGGTCCAGAGATGATGGACGAGGTGGACACTTTAGGTTCCGTTGGGAATCGGGTCCCTAGGGAAGGTGCGTAGGGCTGTTGATGGGATTGCCTTTTGACTATCCGACATGTTTATTTTGTTATAACCAGTATGCCTGGTTTCTTTTGTTACCTGGTGGTTGACTACATTTTTGGAGTCGGAGTGCTCATGTAAATAATGGGTTTTGTACCGACCGGATGTCGGATAACCTGTATATTTTGGTGTGACTTCATAAATAAATGTATATATTTAAGTATTATCTTTTATACTTATCCTTTGCGTGCCTTTTGTGCATTTACTTTGTGTTTTTATTTTGTTTCTAGTTTGAATACTAAGCACACGTTATGTTTGGATTTATAGACTTTTGCACCTAAATGGCCTCCGGTACTCGAGGTAGAGGTAGAGGGCGAGACGAAGCCCTGAAATGGAACATGAACATGAGCCAGATCAAGTAGCTACAGCCATCCGCTGGATGGCTAACCTGTTAGAACGTATGGTTGACCAACAGGGTCAGGGCCATGGGAATACTACAGGAAACCTTGAAAATAATCCAGGCAATCACGAAGGAGAGGACCGTGCTTTAGAACGGTTCCAAAAATTTGCACCTCCCAAGTTTATAGGTGGATCTAATCCTGACCTAGCAGAGGG